GCAGGAGGAAACATGGCATAAATGATGCCGCTGCCAGCAGCTGAGATGCCCCCGGGCTTTGCTTTCTGGCCAGGCATCCAAGTGCCAGCGCAGATGGGATGCCAGGGGCAGCAGGAAGGGCTTGTTGGGGGTGCACGGCTCTTGGCGGTGGCAGTTGAGACTTGGGGTCTTTCCTGCAAGGTCTTTAGTGCGTTGTGACTGTGTTTACCTTCACCAGCCTGGGGGCTGGAGGGGGAAATTTGGGGTGACTTTGGCTCTGAGAGAAGACGCAGCGCGATGACAGGTCCAGGCAGCCCCTGCGCCCTCCCCTTGTGGCTGGGCCTGGGTTAAGGTAGAGAGAGAGATTTTATTGCTGGTGAGTTTTGCTGCTGACTTCTGGGGTAGGGAGCAGTAGGCGTGGAGGAGACCGTGACTGCAGGGTCATGAGGTGGGTGAGAGCGATGCTGGGCAGAGCTTTCAGGTCAGCTGCAAAAAGCCGCCCCGTTTCACTGCAGTTTTGGTTCAATTTTTTGCATCCTTCCCTTTGGGCTGGTTGGGTTCATTTGAGACCTCGCTCTGCCCGGAGGGTCCCTGCGGGCTTGTTTTCACTTCCTCTCGCAGTTGGCTAAGCAGTGTGGCAGGTCCTTGCTGGACATGGATGCTCACAGCTCTGGAGTCCGGACTGCAGCTTTAATTAACGAGGAGAATTTTCCACTGTGAGCCTGAAAGCAATTAGCGCCTTTCACCTCCTACCAGACCTTCCCGCTTGCTTTGCTCCTGCTGTAATTGCTGGCACCCGGCAGCGTCTGCTTGGCGCGTACCTCCAAAGCGCCCTGCAAGCATTTGTTCATCTTCCCGGCTCAGGCTGGGGTCTGCGGTGAGATCTGCTAGACCCCAGTAAAAGCTGACTTGTTTCTGGTATTTGGGGGGGAAATGTTGACAGACTGCTGCGTTTCAGTTCCGTTTCTCACCAGGCCGTTGTTTTCTCTCTTACCCAGACCTCCGCTATTGAGCGTGAAGTGTTTGCTAACATCCCAGCCAGCGTTTTCAGTAGAGGTTCAGGGAAGAAAACAGATGTGTTTGTAGAGAAAACAGGAAAGAAACTTGACTCTGCTTTTGAATGCTTTGCGGAGGAGACCGCTTTGAACCTTTCCCCCTAAAAGAGGTTTTTATTTTCAGTAGAGGTTCAGGGAAGAAAACAGATGTGTTTGTAGAGAAAACAGGAAAGAAACTTGAGTCTGCTTTTGAATGCTTTGCGGAGGAGACCGCTTTGAACCTTTCCCCCTAAAAGAGGTTTTTATTTTCAGGTCTGCTCCGCACCGTTGCGGGGCCGGGGAAGGCTGACGGCGGCGTGCTGCTACCCCGGGGCAGAGACGGGGCGCGCTGGCCGCTGCGCCGGCGGGGAGAGCAGGTCGGGGCCGGGCGCGAGCCCCGGCTCCTCGCCCCCC